AGACGGCCTCCAGCGGAATAGAAAGGCCTTGTGCCTTCTGCATCTGCAGAATAGGCTCTTCTCCAGAGCTAAGCTCGAACATGGCCTCCTCCTGAAGTTTTTATAATTAAAAGGGACGCTCTCTTACGCCCAAAGATACCATGTTTGCGAAATCTTGGGCTTAAAAACAGGGTCCCCGCAGTGCTTTGACCTTCGATGAGGACCCTTTCAGGCCAAAGGGCCATCCGCGCCTCTTCAGTGGAGTAGCCGAGATTGCGGGAAAGAGAGGGGTCAAATCGGGTCATAAGGGGTCCTTCCAGTCAAAGATCCCCCCTCTTCGTCGCTGTTTGTTTTTTTTTTTTTGCATGTGTCTTACTCCGGGAGCCTTGGCATCCAAACAGCCCTCTCCTAAGGTCCAGACGTGGTAAGATGACGTCCAGTGGAATACATGTATGGCGGAAAAAGGGCCCTGATTTGTGGATTCGGGTTATCTTTTTTTCTGCTCAAATTTCTATTTGATCCCTCGGTGTCATTTGAATGTTTTAGAAGCCCCACGGATGTTTTAAACTGCCAAAAAATTAGCAAAGGGAGGCCTACGATCGCCAAAGGTATAGCTTCCAAGCCCCCCCCCCCCCCCCCCTACACACACACACATTGACTATCTCATTGCGCCTCTTCGAGTTTGGAGCACAAAACTCACTTAAAGGTCCCCACGGGACACATTGGATTATCCGTAACAGTGGACAGTACAAAAACGGGTGGTCGGAGAAGCTCAGTACCATGAGACGGGACCGTCGAAGACATTGGGCCTCCTCGGAAAACTGTCGGGCAGCGCGCAGATCATGGAAAACTTGGCTTATTCTCATCGTTAGTTTGTCTTTCTGTCAAACTGTGAGAAGCAGTCCCGAAGGGCTGCTAGACCTGCTGACAATAATTGTACTGGAACAATACCCATTACGAGGAGAATGGCCTGCGCTTTGTCAGAGTATGTTGAATACTTGGCCACATACGGCGCCATAATTAGGTGCCAAATCTTTCAGGACCCTTTAAAGTCACCTTACAGCGCCATTGCACCGTATGGGGAATTCCCAGTTTCGGTAGATGACCACCTACGGCGCCAAGAGCGCCAAATCCCCGCGTTTCTGGGGATGGGTTTTTTTTCTAAATGTTTTGTAGTTCAAAGCGGTCCTCAGATTTCAAATAAATGGACATCGCAGTAATTCTGTATATCTGTCTCATCAAATTCATACATGCATCTTGCCAGAAAACACTGCCTTCACTAAAAACAAGTGCAAATTGCCGGTGCCAATATTACCGCCTGGGGAGCCAGAGTCCAGCTCGTTTCATTTCTTGTCGCACCGTTGATCTCTTTTGGCGCCCAGTGATGAAATCCCCGTTACAGGTAGATAGTATTACTAAGGTGGAACATTGCCGTATCTCAGAAAAAAAATGCTTGCGGCAAGTTGATGTCCGGTTTTAAAGACATCCTTTTTCGTCATGCATGAGTTTCAAATCGGCCACACGCTCGCGCACTCGTAAAACAAGTGTTTCAGATCATCTGTGCGACTACGTTAGGGTCGCAGCGGGCTCTCAACTATGTTTACAAAAAAACACAAGCTTTTGTGTTGGATTTTTCATTTAATGAAGCGATCGTAACCTCGGGGACGCAAAACAATTGTATGGAATTCGATTAATGAAACCCCATTTTTTCAGCTCAGTTACCTTTTCTTCGCGGTTGCCTCTGCCGTTGAGATGCGTCGTTTTCTTAGCATTCGATAACAGTGCCCGAGTGTGATTATGCTGACTTGGATATTTGCTGTTTCCACTGTTCCCTTCATCTGATGTTTTTTTTTTATCTTATTGAGTGATTGCTATTTCTGGTCGATAATGCAACATTTGTATCTGAGCAGCTGACATTGTTTTTTCAGCTCCTCAGATTATGCTTGCGCTGATTTTGTTACACATCAACTTAAACCTTGAATCTGATGTGTACATGGACGCAACCACACCCAAGAGCTACTGATGTGCCTTTCTTTTTAAGTGCCATCTTATGCAGTCAAAACACAACAATAGCTCAATCTGTAAAATGTTTCTTGGGTCCGGATCCACCTCTAACCAGCGCTACTTTCGCTCATGGTCTTGTGTGAAGTTATAGGCACTTAACCTGATTAAGGGAACGATTTTGTCTTATTTGCTCGAAGTAGACATTATTTTAACGCGCGCTCGGTTGGGGTGTCAAATTGACCTCCCGAAGGCTTTTCCAGAATGATTTCCGAACGGCGCGGCGTAGCCGCGCCAAATTTTACATAGCTGTAGACAATTAAATAGTGGATTGTTTGGTAACAAACATTTAGATGTACCTTGTAAGGTCATTGACCTATGGCAGGTCAAAGGCAGGCCATGGTTTCAGCGAAGGTAATTTCTGGGGAATCCTCCAATCTGATCCAACAACGGAGTGTTAGACGAAGCCGTACATCGCTGGGATGCTTTCTTAGGCAACACAACAGTTGAATAAGCAAATCACATTGACCTAAGGTCAGGTATGAAAGTCACGCAAAGGTCAAAACTAACCTGTTTTCTTACCCTGGGGCTTGCTGTATGGGATAGTTTCTGGTGCTTATTTGGAATTTATTGATAGCAGGAACCGCATTATACATCTTTCATGGACTTATTAGAGGTCAGAAAAAGTCATTGACCTAAAATGATTCGGGTCAACATTTTGTTTTTAGGAACATCCTGCCTAGCGTAATCTGTGTTGCTCAGTCAAATGCAAAACACAAAGCAATCTTGTATGATTTTGTTCACCTTGGCCTTCAAAAAGTCAAACAAGGTCACTGACCTCTAATGGGTATGTGACTTTTGCTTAGAAACGGTTATCTAGGTTCTGGGGGCAATTTGGAGACCGACCTGGAACTTAACCTTTTTGACCTTTTTTGAACCCAAGGTCATGACCTGACAACCTGAAACTTTGACTTGAATGAGTTCACGTACAGGTCAACACACCCCATAAATTTGGTGTCTCTAGCTTTCTTACTCCCCTAGATCTCGAGGGGGGTCAAATTGACCCGCACCCGAGCGAAGGGTATTTAGCTGGCCACCCGGGCGCGTGTCAAACTGTAAAACCCGTACTCTGTCTAGCGATCCTGACGAAACTATCAAATAACATGTCTTCAAAGGTCACACGCTAACTAAAGCATTAAAACTGAGTGTGATTAATTGAAATAGGCATCGCGTCAGCGTCGACGCCTCATGTCTTTTGCATTCAAGGCCACAGACCATATAGGAACAAAATGATGATAGGTACCTACATCTTTACATCTCACCTGGCGCAAGACTGAATCAGCAGATGCAAAAATCATGAGGTGGATTGCGCTACAAATCGTGTTGCAAATCAAGCTTGGGATGGAACGACAACATTAGGATGTCGACCTTCACCGACGAAGGATCCGGGTCTTTAAATACCATACGTCGGAGTGCGCGGCAATGGCTGACACCAGAAACAGACGCTGTGCAGATGGCTTCTTCCCATAATGAAACTGTCTGCTTGAAAACACGGCTGTATTGTTTCCACTTTTTCTCTGCATTCAGAAGCAAACTAAAGTGGCAATAATTTAATGCGGGACATAGGAAAACAAACGTAGGAAGAAGGATGCATGGTACCATTAGCTGAACTTGTGATATACGCACGTGTATTCTTATTTAGGGAAGATTAGTTTATCCAGCAAAAGTACCTCCGCCGCCATGGGGTTTTCCGCCGCCAAAATAATGATATAGAACTGGGTGCGCGGATCCACTGACATTTATTTTCAAGAGCTGACGTCAGCTCGGTAACCAGCGCAGACGCATAAGTGAAACCAACTGCGCAGCGTCGCTCAATGCTCCGCCTGCAGAAATACCGTACGCTGCGCCTAAACCAAGCGTCGTCAGGCCATGAAATCTACGATGACGTATACCACAGCTCAATACGACATATGTCTTACCGAGATTTTGCGGCTATACATCACAAAAGCTTAGCCATAAACAACGAAATGTGACCGATTGCCAGGCGCATGGCGAACCTATGTCCAATCAACGTGATGTGTAGAGTGCGTCGTTCACTATCGCACGAACCTGCGATAGTGAACGAATACTTTTGTCCCGTGATTCCTAATGAAAGATGCACACTACAGTACGGCTAAACACCTCATGCGCACGGGTTTCCTAGGAAGACTATTCGGGATGTACTAACATAGATCCATTCCACACAAACGAAGCGTTCTGGGCGACTATACTGCCATCTGTGACCGATTCCTGAAACAATACTAGTATTGCCGCTGCTCAGGTGGCAGGCGTGAATCAGTTTTGTCTCCTGCCACATCTTGATTCTAGAAATCACGCAAGCGTTCTCGAATGAAAGTGGCACGAAAAGGTCAAGGGACTAATGAAATTTATCAAACAGACTCTGAAAGTGCTGCAATGAGCAGGGCACCATACATGATCCGAGGATTGTATGTACTGGTGCCCACAGGTCCCAAGCTAGTCACAACGTTGCTTCAACGTGCCGTTGTTCCCCCATTTATGGCAACTGTTACTTGGTTAATAATTTACTAGGGAAACATAACTGGCCAGCATCAGTTCTTTCCAACGTTTTTCTCGGTGTTGTACGCTCCCGCGTCATCTCCTCAAGTACGCCACAGAAACTCCACGCTTCTTCTCCCCATCTGCTCCATCCTCATCTGCATGCTACGCTCACACCCACATATGCTTCCCTAGCGCCTCTGCAGACCATACCGTGGCTGTACGCCCGAGGCGACCCGGCCTGCAGCCGCGGCGCGCGGCGTTGACCGTGCGGCGGCGCTCGCTGTCGGCGGGGCGCCAAAGGCCGGGCGCCGGAGCTTCCGGCGGCCGGCCGGCAGTCTCGCCGCCGCCGGCGCCCGCCGTCGTGTCCGGGCCGTCGCAGCGTCGCCAGCCACGCCGCGGCCGCCGGCGGCATGGTGTAGTGAGCCGCCGCCGCCCGCGCGAGCCCGCCATGAGCTGGCGCCGCCATCTGCTGCTGCTGCTCTGCGGCGGCGTCTGCTCCCTGGTCGGCGCCCAGTCAGGTCAGGCCTGCGCCCCTCAGGTTCCTTGTGTCCCTTCAGGTTCTCAGTGGTGTCCTCTTCCTGCTTGGCACCCCATAGAGTCAGGCCTAGCCCACCAGGCTTCCCGTGCCCCTTCAGGCTCTCAGCAGCATCCTCTTCCTGGTCGGCACCCAGCCTGGTCTGATATGTACCCTTTAGGGTCCCAGTAGTAGCGTCACTCCCTGACTAAGGTGCAGTCAGATCAGATGCAAAAGTTTTCTGATTTCTCCGTCAGCCTAGTGATGTCAAATGCTGCTAGACATCAGTCTGGGTTTTAGGGACGCCTCGACTGCATCGGTCATTTAGCCGCTAGACGTCAGCGAATGGTGATATGTGACGTCATCGATATATGGTGCTATCTCTCGGGCTGGGTATATGGGTCAAAGCATGGGTATAATCACTACTGAGATCGGTGGGGTCCGAATCCAAGTAGCTTATTAGCGGATCGGATTAGATTTGTATTTTGATGGTAGAAAATGGCATCAGAAGAGAACTGAACCCTGGCTTCATTTAAGGTGCGGATACAACCTTGGCTCAAAGGACATTTCGTCTGCTCCTGTTCTGTCTGAAAGAGCGTCTAGCCCCGCACGTTAGCTCAGACACGCGCGTCTGTTTGTCGCACATGTCGCACATCAGAGAGTGGCTTCGTCTTGCCCCGGTTATCAGAGGCAGAGATTGGCTGGCTCTCAGAGTGCGCAATGCAAGCCGTCGTGCCTCATTTATGGTGACTTTTCACGAATGTGCGCATGCGCTGAGGAATACCTCTGTTTTCGTTGCTCAATGGCATACCCCCATAGTTATCTGCCCGACCCAACGTCCATGCACTCAGGTGCTTCACTTTCTGAATGCTTGTTTGTGTGTTCATTTATTTGAGGACCGCCGATTTCTGGAAGCAGCTTTCAAGGAATCGTTTCACTGTCGTCGCAAGATTTGAACTCAATACTTCTGGTAGCCGTGCCATTTAGCGACGCACCTGCGCCTGAGATGAGGAGATTTTGCCGCGGATCGAACATGTGCCCGATCATGGAGTCGAATCGAATCAGCTCGGCCGCCGGATCGCCCGAGCTGAACATGCCGGGCAGCGTGTCGTCCTCCGCTGCTCGTCTGACTCGAGACACCCAGAGGGGACGCTGTGATCGTACAGGCGACACCGCATGGATGCCAGTTGGGTCCTAAAACGTTTCTCTTTCATATCTTTGCTTGGAGTACGATAGTTTTAACTCGTGGATCAGATCTTCAAACCAACACATTTGAGCACCTTAGATATTGCCACTTTTGCGCTTTGTGTTCGGCTGTACCACTATAGTGTCATACACTGTCGAAATCAAAGCACCATAAGGTGGTGCCTTCTGGTCAGGCATTAGGTCCCTGTTGAGGTCAAAACTAGGCAAATGTCTAAGGGCATCAGTAAAAAAAACTCCTGGCAAAACCAAAGACAGCATGGTAATTGGGAGAACGTGCCGTGGCATTCTGCACATTCAACTCCAGGCATACGCAGGATGTTCTTGTCGGGCCAGGCCACTTATTTAGACGCCATGTGACCCTCCGCTCAGGGCAATGGGACTGCGTCCCAGACGCGGGGCCTTCGTTAGTTGCAGGAGACTTGTAATGTAACCGCACAACTTGGAGGCAAGCCAGGCGTTGAGGCCACAGACCACCCGAATTGTCGTGTAGAGCTCTCGTCGGTGTGACGTCACTGAACCACCCATGCAGCACACCGTCCTGGCCGCGGATTAATCCAGAAGAGCCAGTGTTAAATTACTGACTGCGGTTTTTATGCGAGCTTGCGGGGCTGTCGGAAGATGCATCTGATTTCCGGAACTCCTCTCAGAGTAACGATGAAGATTGCATGGTCTATGGCTGAAGAAACTGGTTGTTCTTGGCATTCACTCTGCGGTAAGTGACTGAGATGCATAAAAACATTGATTATTTTTTAGCCCACGGTCTGATAGGGGCTGTGCATATTCTACTGAACCTTTCAGTATAAGTCTGGAACAGGTAGCACCGTCAGCATGAAATTTTCAGCACACATAGTGTGTCGATAAATTACCGAAATTATGATTCTGACTAACGATCATAGGGTTTTCCTAAGTCAGGTCAAAATGGTGTCATGCATTTGACGAACCGTACAGAATATGTGGTGCCCAAGCCCTTTTCGCCGTTTATGACACGTTTAGTTACATTTTTCTCTAGACGTGTTTATTCGGAACTCGTTTGTTTTATGAGTTGTGATATATACCGTGAGACCCCGATGACTTATCTTAAGGTTAACGTATTCTTAGGTCGCATTTCTGGGACGTCAGAAGTTGGCCTTTTATAGGACAAAGCCGTCCCAAATTATTTGATGTTTGTGCATGTCTATTTGGGTTTTCACGCTGCTGGTCACAGTTCGTGTCGCTTGCTCATGGGAGTCAGCAGGCCTCAGACCATTTCCAGGTCATGCCAAAATGACGTCCAATCAAACGCCGATGGGGGGGAGGGGGGCTTGTAGTTTAGGGACGTTTTAGATGCATGGGTAGGGATATGAGAGTGCCGATTGCGTCGCAATGCGCCACAGCCTCGTAAAGGGACATTAATCTTTAATGTTACTGAACGATCAATCATTTAATCTACATGAAATTCAATCTACAGTTCAACGTGGTTCACGCCAACTGAATCACAATCTGGTGAGTACTTAGTGTAGGCATCACACCAAAACATAAGAACTGTCAGTACTGCATCCTTAATGTGTTGTGAAGCATGCTGCTACTACGTTCATGCTGGGTGAAGAGGTCAAATACAGGCCATTGCTTACACAATGTCTAAATAAAGACCGCATTGCTTGGCAGCATTAAAAATCCCACAGCTATATACTGGCATTGCGCTGTTTATGTAGATATTTGACAATCGTTTGTGACAAATTTAGAATACGTACATAAACACCGCAACACCGGTTAGTCTTCAAAACTCAATAAATAACTGGCTGCCTCGCGGTCTTTGTGCAGACACTTTGTTCTGCACGCGTTGACCTGTATTTGACCTACTGACTAAGCATGAAGCGTGGAGGCAAAATGCTTCACCACGCATGTTTTGATACTGTTGTTATGCATTACGGTTGTTACGCATCTAAAGAGATGACAAAGAAGTCCTTCTCCGCATGTATTATTAGACAAAAACCCAATCCGGCATTAAGGCTGAAATGTTTAGAGAATGTAAGTGGAAACAGCCTCGTCATTTGTCGCCAGAGCTATCAAGATAGCCATGGCCTTTCACCCCGGTGGCGTTTCTGTTTCATTATAATACACCTGTTCGTCATTTCGCGTTTCCGGTATTTTATCATTTTTGCTGTCCGAAGGTAAAAAGGCGTAAAAGCCGTTAGCTAATATAGCACTCAAGCCTTTTTGCCTTTGGACGGCAGATTTGGTTCCATTGATCAAATGCACAAAGTAGCCAGTTTCAATGGATGACAACTGGCGGGCCGCTAATAGCATTAACCAATCAGTAAGTACTACAAAACGACGTTAGAGGCACATAACGCAAAGTCTCAAGGACAGAGCAATATCCTGACCTTATTGCTTGCATGCCGCCACACCCACCACCATGGATATAGTTTTCTTACCTTTTGATTTGAACCTCTGACAGGCTGAGAAAAACCGAAAAGCTATATCAGTCTTCCATAACTTTATGTAAAAGCGGAAATTGATCTAAATCTGAGATTTTGTACAACACCGCGTAACTGAGTGATCCAAAATTATGAAACCCGGTGAATGCATGTTGCCTTATACACGACCGAGCTCCATCCTTTCTATCGCACTTAAGCACGGACGATACGCTTTTCATGCTTGTCTCAGCTTGTGAAGTGCCGTAACAGTCTAACCCCACCAGAAGCGCAGCTTTCTACGCGTGCGGAACGGCTTGTAAGTATGCACTTGCATGAACTTTCCCGTGCAGGGAAGTTTATAAAAAAAGTGGAGGAAGCGTAGAAAGCTATACGTTTGTCTCTTAGAAATTTTGATTATTGTAATTTTTGCTTGCAAGTCGGATCATCCCTGCTTTTGCCGCTTAGTTCAACCCAATCGATTGACCGATGCTGGATATATTTTGCGACACTTAATTTTTCCTCCCCAGGAAATGACGAGTGGGGCAAGACGTACAGAAAATGCGGTGCAGAAAAGCATTAAAAGCTGTCACGTCTGAATAAAAACAATTGTTTAGCAGTCAACCTGTTGTTGCGATAAGCATGCCTCTTCACTACCAGACTTGAAAAAGAAAAGTTATGACACATCACAACTTAGAATTTTGCAAAGCGCTGATCACCATAGTACTCATGTACTCCCCTTACATGGATATGACCAATGCACATTGACAGCCCATTCCTGAGATATAGGCGGCACGGATGTTCCAGGGAGTCGCTTTTGTATGAACTGGACGGGACAGCCCCATGGTGGGCTGGTTTTATAGCAGAGAAAACGATTTATTCTGCTTAATTCTACCCATCGGCTCGTTGTCGCTCTTTTATTTTCGCAAAATGCTAAGACTCGATTCTGGAGTGCCGCTCTGTCCCCTGGAATGTTTGGATATTCCTGCCTCCTGCCGTTACCAAAGCCAGTCGGTGTTTGACACTAACGGCTTCGGTCAGCGATGCCGTCACCGTCCTGAAAATATCTGCCACCTCTACGCCCTTGAACCATCACTACCAGATTGATTCATAAAACCGGTCACTGTTTTTCGCTGAAATGTGAGTTTGCGCATGTGATAGCAAGCTCTTATGCGGGTATCGCTTATACATGTCGTCTAATATTACTTGGCGCTCATTTCACGAGCTAGTGCCACTTGCCGCTTTGAACACGAGCCGCTGTTCGTGATGAAGGGTGCCTGCGGCGCTGTGCCGGTATAAACGCCTTGCGCTTCCGGTTGGCTCTGTGTGCTGGTCTGGTCTGTACTTGTGTCTGCTTTGGCAGTGAACGTGCGCCAGCTCCTCCAGATGGTGTGCCTGTGCCGTG